TATTTTTAACAAACAAAAAATAATCAATAAAACGAAAAACCAGATGTCGATCATAAACAGACCATTAAAAAATAAAGAAATAATAAAACTCTCGAGGCAAGGATGTTAGCAGCTATCTGCGAAGATCTCAAGATGAACAAGAGTTTGATGTGCCCTAAGGGAGGTCACGCAGAGGGAAGCCCTCCGCAAGCCAGAAACGAGGATGCCCACGGGTTAAACCATATTTTTTTTCCTTTGTCATTAAAACAACGGTTTAAATTTTAAATGCAATAACAAGAATAAGCTAAAGTTAGCGGTCCTCGCGCTCACTCCAATCAAGACCAGGCCACCAGATACATCAGTGAATTATTATCCAATAATTAATTCGCTATCAAATGATTTTCACCTTTAATACTTTTACTGTTAAAACAAAGCTTGGAGACAAAATACCGAGTCACATCAAAGGTTATCGAGAAGGAATGAGGCGAACGGGCAAACTTACGAAAGAGTTTAAACAATATCCCAAGCAACCCCGACCACCTTTGTCTCTCTCACAGCGCGGAGAAGCAGGAATTACACCTTATCACAAGGGGCCATCTGGAAAAGCCAGCCGGGTTTGATGAGGAGACACACCCCACCCCACACACGGCAACCAGGCAAACAAAGTTTTAAAGAAAATTGCAATATAACATTAATAACGTGTTAACCTTAAACGATATTCCATTATAGAACCTTACAGAACCAAGGGATATGGATTCCAACAATCTGGAAACGGACCTCTTAAACTCAGGATGAAAATTATTTTTCTTTCTAATAACTCCATCATATCAATGCGAACCTCGGTAACCCGAGAGGGGTGTCGGGAGGACGTAGTTACAAACACGAGTCTTGGCGAACATGGGACCAAATTGTTTTTGAGAAATATAAAGTCGAAAGTATAAAGAGATAGGTACTCCCGACCACCTTTGTCTCTCCCGAAGAGCGCGAGAGAGGAATTTCACGCCAGGGCAAACAGATCGTTATCGCAGGAGCCATCTGTACACACACACACGAACTCACACACACAGACCCCGCCCCCCCCTTTTTCACTGGGCAGAGAGAATTGTCTTTGAATATAACGGTCAGCCGCATTTTCAAAAGTCAGTGAAGTTAAGTCAAGAGTCAAGACAGATCAGCGAGTCAAGACGTCCACAGGACGAGCAGTCGCATGGAGCGGCTGGCTCCGAGCCTCGCTGAGTAGCGAGGATCGCTGAGTCGCGATGTATCAACAAAAGTGAGTCATACAGCAGTGGAGGAAACCTGCTGTCAGCGAACCAGCACGGGCGCGTTCGCGCACTTCAACAGAGAGAGCACGTGCGACTCAACTCACTCAACTGAAAAAAAAGCTTGGCCAGCCGCCAACAAAGTATCAGCGAATCAGCGCTGAGAGCGCTCGAACATCTCCACAAAGAAAGCACGTGCAACGTGGCTCAACCAGCAGCGGAAAAGCACGAGCAGCCACCAACAACTTCAGCAAACCAGTGACCAAGCGCGTGCGACTTGAGTCATACAGCAGTAGAGGAAACCTGCTGTCAGAGAGCCGCCAACAACCTCAACAAAGAGAGCGCGTGCGACTCGGCTCACTCAGCAGAATAAAAACTTGACCTGTCGCCCGCGAGCGCAGCGTCAGATACTACAGCAGCGGAAAGAGCGCGCGTCGGCGCAGCTCATCCAGCAGTGGAGGAAACTGCTGTCAGCGAATCAGCACGGGCGCGTTCGCGCATCTTCGAGGAGAAAGAGCGCGGCCAGCAACGCCAAGCAAGAGCGTGCAGCAGCTCAGCCAGCAGTGGAGAGAAACTGCTATCAGCGAACCAGCACGGGCGCGTTCGCGCATCTTCAAGGAGAGGGAGCGCGCGCCACCAGCGTGCCATCAGCATCAGCACCAGCACCAGCGCGCGCCAACAGCACGCCACCAGCGTGCCACCAGCACCAGCGCGTGCCAACAGCGTGCCACCAGCGTGCTACAGCGCGCAACTTCGCGTCACCAGGGCTGAGAGGGAAGCGGCCCTGCACTCATGCGAGCGTCGTGCTGACTCATCCAGCCAGCGGTGGACAGAAACTGGCAGTCGTTCGTATGCCCCTCCCCCACACTCCCTCCTCACTCCCCCACCGCTACACAACGAACAAACAATTTTTTTTGACAAGGAAATCAACCTAGGCGTTTGCTCAACGCAAGATATCAACAACCCTCCCATTAAACATACAAGACTCATGATAACTGCGTCAACTATTAGTTAATAACGAAAAACATCGCCACCCATTGAGTTACGTTGATGAGGCAATCAGAATTATTTCAGTCGAACGCTTTAATTGCATAATCGTTGATGAATCAATGAACGAACATCGCCGTGGTACTGTGCTGACGATTTCAAGCATAATAATTTCGCATATCAGAATGTGTTAAGGATTGGATACGAATCAAAGACCGAGTGCCGTGTTGTGTAATCATTCAAGAATACGAGTTTGCATCTTATAAGGTTAAGGTTTTGATAGAATAGTTTGCATGTTTTTAATCTCTCTCTCAACAACCGATCGATTGCGTTACGCGTCGGGAATTAACCATAGGTGCCAATATCGAGGTGAAACAACGCAATCGTGATGGTATCATGTTAACGCTGTGTTGAAATTCCAACATCCCGAGATTGAGTTTTCATATTATCCAAAAATTAAAGTTAGCTAGAAAATAAAATTGATCAAAGCAGAAGGTTTGTGTGTGATTCTTCCTGAAATTCTGCATAATATTGTTCTGCGTATGAGATATGAATCCTGGGGACCTATCATAAGCACACTATCATCACACATAATCCATAACACACATAATTCATGTTCAATCGAGAGTAATCGTATCCTTATCGATAATACGGAATTAAAGAGCAGAGTCGAATCGACTCTCTCTCATTCACGCTCACAACGCCTGCGTCACTGCATACGATTAATTGCGTTATTCCAATTCATAACACAATCCTCGTCACCGAGGCTCGACCTCATAATCCATAACGACCTGCATTATCATAACCACGCCCACTCGCATAAATTAATACGATTATCTCTCGAATCAGCATAATTACACTGATTAACATAATTTCGGATAAATTATGCAAATCTCATTTAATTTTCATTATTTTCATCAATTTTCATAACACCTATATATACAACACTGGCGAAGAATAATGATGCAGAGTTGACGTGATTATGACACGAGTTGATGCTTTGATCTACTAAATACTTAGATTTGTAGTGCACTGAGTGTTCTAGTGGTTTATTTATGTTTCATGCGTTGTATTGCTTGAAAATACTTTACTGCTAGACACAAGGCCGTAATTATAATATATATTGGGGGGGACACATCCCCCCCAATATCCAAATATGCTAAAAATGTCCCATCCCAATATATTGCTATAAACAATACTTATAAAAGTAAAAACAGAGCAATGTAATACAATACACTATTAGACATTATTGTATTATTGTAAAAAAAAAAGTCCATCCCATGTGTTTAGTGAATTTTTTTATATTTTAGGCAGGAAATTAGTTTTCAAATTTAGATTTTTCTAGGGGGGGGGACCCCTAGACCCCCTGGAAGATTTGGTCCCCCCCAATGTTGACTCCATGGCTACGGCCTTGGCGAGACGGATCTATGGACCTGGTGACTATTGCGGACGTATTGTAATTGATGGAGAACCACTAGACACGAACTTGCGATAATCATTTAAATTAAATAATAAGTATTGTATGGTGCGCAAACAGCGGAGATGCTAAAAGCACATTTTCAGATTTTCAGTTATTGAATAATACATATGGCAAGTGCGATTAAGGGGACTCACATTGAGTGTTGCAGAAGAAATATTTAAGGAGAGAAGACATTTGCCTACTCGAGCAAGGCATTAATTTTGAGAGGGAGAGACGTTAACATTGCACCGAACTGTGCTACAAGGTCACGTGCCATGGATGACGAGCACAACAAAAAGTGCCGGTAAAAACTCTGTGAATTATTATCAAGGTAAAGACGTTAAAGAACATCATCATTCTACACGTCGTCAAGACCTGACCACAGCTGACAAGTCACCAGCTGCATCGACCTCCTGGCTGCTGCTGTTTGTTGCGTCATCAACCATTGGGTCGCCGTCTCCGCTGTTTGCACGAAGACTGCCGTGTCACCTTCTCAACGCGAGCATGATGAGACTGTTACAGACTGAAAGCAGATTGCTTCTGTTGTGTTGCTTGCCTTATCTTTAATCATCAGTGTGCATTGATGCCTTATTAACCTAAATTCTGAGTTATGCCATTAATTTCTGTTTTCAGTTTTCAAAGTTTTCATTTGCATAACAGTATCAAGTATTCTTTGGACCAACTGTCAGTTGCATATTTGATGATTGGTACTCAATTGTTTTTTTTTTATAAAAAAGACTTGTTTGCATTAAAATCTGTGTGTGGGTGGTTGAACATTGTGTACATGCGAGATATCAAAGAATCCGGAATATAAGGTTGGCTTCTGTCATTGTGTATCATGAATAAATCACACCCTAGACCAGGGGGTGGGGAAACTTTTTTCTGCCAAGGGCCATTTGGATATTTATAACATAATTCACGGGCCATACAAAATTATCGACTTAAAAAGTAGCCTGTTATATTTGGTCAAACATTTAATTAACTCACCCCTAATGTGATGGCTGGAACAGATCAAATTATTTTTTTATTTAAAGCTTTCGTGACTGCAGTGATTCATATTCTTGGTTCTTTCGGTAAAGTCACGTTGAAGGGAAACAATAAAGTAATAAAATATATATAAAACATGATTTTGTTTCCCTTCAATGTGACTTTACCGAAAGAACCAAGAATATCGATTAAATTATTTCGCGGGCCTTATACGGCCCACGGGCCGGACGTTCCCCACCCCTGCCCGAGACAAATAAAAAAATACAATAAAATGACAGATACCTTCCAGAACTACATCACCGTCCATTCATCATTAAAAACACGTCTTTATGTGAAGCCTTTCTGCAACAATGCGCATTTATTATGTAAAGCAAATTCTGTGTTAGATAAACATTTCATGCCACGCTGAACAATCAAGCCGCTTTTACTCAAATGTATTCATGACAACAATGAAGACAGAATTCTAGGCATCAACAGCATTGACGAGTTCAGTCAAAGCAGTGGAGGCCCCTCTCGTATCCGGGCATCATCAAGGACTTGTCGACGTGTCCGGTCTTCAGGCTGCTCCACGCAAGGATTCGCTTGAGCAACGACTCGTAGCCAATCACACCAAGCTACCAACATCACGTGCCCTAACGTACCCTCACCCTCACTTAATGGCACATAGTTCGTGCCATTAAGTGATTCTTGTCCCCCTCGACGTAAATTACGTGGAGACATCGGTCATCACTGAATTGGCTGCGTTCTGAAGATTTTGTTGTTTATTGTCATTGCATGGGAATGCAAGGATGCCTGAAGGATGCTGTATCAGCCGTACGTTGCTCCTTGTTGCTGGAGTACATAAGGTAGCGCCTCTCCCAGGGAAGGTGACAATGCCGCTATGTGCACAATTGACCATGGCGCTGACCGCTAAAAATCCATGTTCGAGGTTATCTTCATATGTACAGCAACAGTCAAAAAGGAAGATTTCTAATCGCATCGTCCACTCCATGTACAACAGTCGGGAATGCGGGATGAGCTCGCAAATCTCTCCGCAACACCGCTCCATGGGAGCCCGGCTACGAGTGCGCCTGCAGCACGAGGTTCTTGCGGTAGCACTCGAGGCTGCACAGCGGCACGCCGGTCTTAGCGCAGCTGTAGCGTTTCCTGTTGGTGCAGCCGGGGACGCCGCAGTCCAGCGCCTGTGAGGGGGCGGGCGGAGGGGCCGGTGCGGGACCCAGCAGCGCCGGCAGCGGGAAGCCGGGCGGGAAGGAGACGGTGGTCCCCTCGGAGGCGGAGCTGGAGTAGCGCACGGTGGGGGCCATGGGCCACCGCCGGCCCAGCGCCCCCACACGGCCCCCGGCTTTGCCGCCGGACTTGGCGCGGCCGGTCTTGGTGAGGCGCTCTATTGTCTGCTTGCGACTCTCCTCGGCCTTGCGCGCGGCCTGCAGGCGGCGCGTGCGCGCCCGCTCCGCGCGCTTCATCAGCATCTCTGCCGTCATCTCCTTCTCCTTGTAGCCCATGGGCAGCTCCAGCAGCGGCTGGGTGGGCGCCGCGTCACGGTGCAGCAGTGCGCGCTGCTCGCGAAACAAACACCACACACACACACACGGGTACGTGCGTGCGAAGTGGTAGTGCAGTTGTTAGTGCGCTGCGCCATGAACCCGGCGACTCGAGTTCAATTCCCGCTCACGGCCAATACCAGTGGCGATTTTCGGAACTGGTCCTGGGCCTCCAGGACCGGGGAGACAAAGGTGTTCGGGCGTGGTGGTGGCCACTCACCCCTTCGTGTACTGTTCCGGCCTTCATAGGTTCTCGCTAACAGCACCTTCCCCAACAGTCTGTTAAGGCTATACGTATAGCCTTAACAGACTTTGTCTTGTGCGTCAATGCACTTTCGAACAAGGGCCTGCTCAGATGCAATCGGCAATGTCTCGACAAAATGCCACTTTAAAATATATAACAGGCACTCATGAGAAGGGCCATTCATAGTGAATAATTGGCATTCCACGTAACATAAGTTGGGTGATAGTGGACGATGTATGGGTTTGGTGCCCTCCCTGGGTCAGTATCTTTATCAGCAAGGTTACACATCGTTGGCTGTCAATCTGTTAAAAGAGGGAGACGCAGGTTGAGATTCAGAGACGGGGGGGACATTCCCAAGCCTCAAGGGTGAATTCCAAGGCAGGGAGCTCACCTGCCGTGGCGTCAGCAGGGACTCGTCCACCTCCTTCTTGAGCTCCCCATTGTCGTCCAGCTCTCCGCGCTCCAGGGCATCAAGCCAGCGCTTCTCCTCCTCATCCTCGGGTCCCGATTCAGCGTCCGGCAGGGCTGGGGGGTCCCCGTCGCTGTCGTCTGGGGCCACACACAGCGCTTAGTGTCCGCTGGCGACAAACCCGCAGAGCCCGCACTCCCCCATAACCATGCGGGTCACCGGTTACCCCTCCCAGGCATTGACGATGGCATTCCCTCACACAAGCGTAAAGCGTCATAAAAACAACCGTTCTAAACATTGATGCGCAAATGCAAAATTGAAAACTCATTCTAAATTGAAAACTAATATCTTTAGAACTGCTTTTTGTGTTTAGATTGTTGTCCTTCCCCCATACCTCTGATTAGCATGGTTGGCTACGTGCGGTGTGAAAGAAGTTCAACATTCATACAAAGCTGTATGGCTAGAAGTATGAGAATTTATTTCTTCACAGACCCTGATAGATAGAGTTTGTAAATGCATGGCATTAAAATAGTAACCCTGCAAGATCAAGAAAAGCAAAATTAAGTGAAAACCGAACTTTATATATTTGTTTCTCATTCATTATTGGGTTTTTGGACCATCAATTTGCTTCAAGTGAGATACCTATATTCATGGTTAGGTGAAACTTTCGGACTCATTAAATGCACGCTGCTGGCAGTGTTGGGATGTGGGTTATGGCCCTGTTGTATATATGTCTTTTCCAAAAAAATAATAAAAGTGATAGTCTATTTTTTATGTAATTGTTTTTTTTTTACTTCTGGATTTAGCGCGTTCTAAAAAAGAAAACTGCAGTAACGGAGGCCTGTGAACTCCTCCCTTGAGACAACAAAGGCCAAAGGAGCACCCCCCCCTGCCTCGCTCCCACATAAAATAAAACAACTTGAGATTAATTATTCACAAGCTTTGGCTTTGGAAAGTTGTAAAGTTGTATTGACCACCACCTCATAGGAATATTTTCAAACATCATGAGATTAAATGTTAACTTGATAGAATGTATTGTTGTATGATGATGTAGCTCAGGAGGTTTTGAATACGACAAGTTGCATGTTTTATTAACACCCACCTATAAATATATATAAACACCCAGGTCTGTCATTCTGTCACTCTGCCATTCTGTGACTCTGTGAATCTGTCATTGTGTGCTTAACGCGGCACGGATTGGTTGAAGTGCATCACGTGACCGTGAGCAAGCAGCTAACCAGAGGTGCGCCCCTCACAAACATGTACGCCCCCCAGGTGATGTTTCGTCGTAATAAGGCGCTGTGGGCAGCTGATCTGCCATCACGCTCACGGGCCGAGAGGGGTGGGGGCTGAGGAGGAGGGGGACCCCCCCCCCCCAACACTTCCTAAGACCCCTTAAGATAACATCTTGCAAATAATCCTAACAGTTCTTTCAGTGATTAATAAGTCATAGCTCTTAGAAGTGAATGTAAATACCACAACAAAAGTTTAAATACATTTTCATTCATTCACATTAAAGTTACATCGCGATCGTCAAAAAAGGTATGTAGAGTGAAAGTTTTAAGTGAAAGCCACGTAAAGCCGCTCTTATCCGACTTACTGAAAGTCCTCAAGTACAGCAAAGCCGTTTGCGTTCTTTTACAGTACTCTACAATAATACTTTTGACAGTAAAACACACGTGCACTACACACTCATCTATTACGTACGGACATATACACATGGTTCTCATTACATTAGTACTCGTCTTCTTTGGTTCTTTCGGTAAGGTCAAGTAGAATGAGAATAAAATAATAAAATAACACAATAAAATTCTCACAAGTTAAGTGGAGATAAGTGGAGATTTGAGTTATACACTAATATCGAGAATGCATGAAATTTTGTCCAAACTATAGGCCGGAAAAATTCTGTTGTCCAAGTGACTGATATTCTGATAAGAGTTTTTGATCAGTTCTAGAGAGTGAACCCGGAGCAGTGAGACAGCGGCACACAGCAGGGACCTCCCGAGGGAAGGGGGGCACCAAGGGTGCTCGCGCGAAGCAAGCTGCTGCTGACAAGGAATGAGGAGCAACCGACCACAGACCATTCCCACTGCTGATCGAGCCTGGCGTGCAGATAATCTGCGAACGTGCAGCGCAGCAACTAACGGCTGACCACGAGCGTGCTGACTCGAAAGGCCCGAGCACCCTCCAACCGTGCCTGGTGTCAAGGGGGGTGACGCGCTGCCGCCCGGCGGACGAGCTGCGAGCACTATCTGGCGACGTGGCCCCAGTGCACCCCGGTGCAGGCTGGGCCCGACCCATCGACAACCTGCCAGCACGGGCGCCGCAACCAGCGGTGAACCGCAGCGTGCCGACTCAACAGCCACTCCAGCTGTGGACGGAGCCTGATGGGCACGCAGCTCGAGTGGATCACACGCCATTTGCCGACAAACACCCGCCGACCCAACGCCCACTGCTGGGGACCTGAGGTATTTTTGGTGTGTAAAGGAACACAAATATCGCTAGCCGCCCAGGGCTCCCACGACCCCAGAGTCACAGATGGTAACACGATCCATGTGCAGAGATCGTACAAGGACAAACTCAAACCACACTACCCGCTATAATAATTATTGGACCGCGTGGTGACTGCTGTTGCATATAGGCCTTTTTCCAAAATTGATATTAAGAATAATTCTGCCAACATTTTTTTTAAATAATCAATCGCGGTGTCGCTTGGGGCAAAAGGTGGGTGATGCGAAACCCTCCCCTCACAGCAGATGGCTTTCACAGTCAGGACCAAGCAAGGAAGTAGCCATAAAGATTAATTAATAAATAAATACACCTTGGTACAAAGGAAAGATAGGGGGGGGGGGGTTGCTAATGAGATTCTGGGGAAAATCTACATGGCTTCAAAGGCCCCCTCAAAAGAAGAAACAGACAATTTTTTAAAATAACTTCTCTTTTTCATTTCTCTTAATACAACGGTTAAAGTTCAGAACTTAGCGACAAGAATGAGTCGACATCATAGTCTACACACACTCACCCAGTGAAAGAACCAGACTGCAGTCACATTGGTGGCCTTCACTTATTAATTACCTTATTTTACTCTCATCTACCTCACATGTTGTTTCTATTATATCTTGCTATCTATGTGACTTCACCAAAAAACCAAGGAATATTAATTCCAGCAGCCAAGAAGCTTAACTGAAAACTTAGTTACGCCTCTAACTTCATGACATAAAAATACAACTCGAAAATAACAGCACGGATCCCTGGATACAGACGAGAAACAAAGGTTAATACAACCCTAGGAATATACGTGGTAATAACAATGCTAAATCACGAATCTTGGGAAACATAAAACAAAATAATAATTAGAAGAGATGAGGCGAAATAAGTCAATCACATGACCAAGATAAATGCATTCCATAGAAAAAGCCTCCCAGCCACCTTCCAGAAGCATGTTTTAGCAATAAAACCACAAAGGGAGAGACTGCGGCCCTCATTGTGAGAGACAAATGTAACACCCGACCGCGAAGGAAGGAGCCAGGCCTTGAGGAAACAACTTATCACTCCAATAAAAGTATAACAGACACACACATACCCAAAACAGCGGGGGACACAATCTCCCCAGACGAGGGATGACGAAACAGGCAACGGTTTCTTGGTAAACTCTTTTTTTTGTTTCTTCTAACAACGGTAAAAGTAAAAAAACTTAGCGACAAGAATAAGTGAACATCATAGACCGATTGATAATACAACCCTAGACAACGAAACCGAGCTTAATTTAGCATACTTACATCACACTTGTATAATTTAATACAAGTTATTGTATCATCCCGATTTTCATAACGGCATGCATTAGCATAATCGCATGCATTTGCATAACTTAATACAATTACACCTGTATAGTCAGCATAATATATGCACATAATTACATAAATTAGCATAAATTCTGATAATTACGCATTTTTTTCCGTTTTCATTAAAATTTACATATTTTGCATAATTTTTTAAGACCCGGCATACACAACACTGCCCCTACACACACAAACACACACGACGCGCATATCGGTACAAATAAGGTTGTTCCGTGGTGTTCGTTTCGCATAGGCTTGCCATTCAAAGGTGGTGTGTTAAGTATTAACCGGTCACTGAGAAACATTATTCTGTCCCTTAAGTTGCATGAATATGGTCGTTAAAAGTATTTTAGTCGTTTGTTTCTTTTGAATGCATATTACCAATGAATTCATTGACGTCCTACTAAGCCAATTGATAAGCATTTATTTTCCAAATCTATACACTCGCATTAATACTATTTTTTCGGATATCGGCTGTTGTTTCTTGTAATCGCATAATCTTATCAATGAATTCATTGATGCCCCTTTAGCCATTGGACACACATTTCTTTAGCATGCTTTCCGTATGAATTGTCATTTTTATGGGCTTACCTATCTTTGTGCGTTACCATGAGGAGTTAGCCTATTGTTCTATTGCTCTGTTTAACAACGTAACCATAAGACTTGACCATGATGTTTTTGTTTGTACGGATCGATGAGTACAATATTTGGATGAGTACTACTGTGGTAATTCTGATGATGTGTGTTCGCATAATAGAGTGTTTTTAGATATTAAAGTTGCTTAATATAGAAGAGTCTGAGTGGTTCCTTCCTAAGTTCATGCATAATTACCTTAATTATAAGAACTGTATTCTGGGGCGAGATCTGAATCCTGAGACCGGACATAATTACACTAAAATCATAATCATTAAATGTTAAGGCGAGAATGAGTAATTGTTAAAGCCAGACTCATTTATGTATCACGATTGGTGATACATACCCTAGACAATGAGAGAGCCAACAATAATACACGGAACTACACACACACATATTTATAACCAGCGGGAAGTACCCAGCGTTGCCCGGGGGAAAAATACATTTCAAAACTTCTCTTAAAAACATAACATATCCATACACAAATGATCATTGCAACTCCACGAGGTGAGATTTGCATGGAGCCCCAGGCCGAGGGAGATTGACAGTTCTTTTGTGTTTATTCCATTTGCGAATAATCGCACCAACTGTTGTCACCTTCTCATCAAGCTGCTTGGCAATGGACTTGTAGCCCATTCCAGCCTTGTGTAGGTCTACAATCTTGTCCCTGACATCCTTGGAGAGCTCTTTGGTCTTGGCCATGGTGGAGAGTTTGGAATCTGATTGATTGCTTCTGTGGACAGGTGCCTTTTATACAGGTAACAAGCAGAGATTAGGAGCACTCCCTTTAAGAATGTGCTCCTAATCTCAGCTCGTTACCTGTATAAAAGACGCCTGGGAGACAGAAATCTTTCTGATTGAGAGGGGGTCAAATACTTATTTCCCTCATAAAAATGCCAATCAATTATTAACATTTTTGACATGCGTTTTTCTGGAATGTTTTGTTGTTAATCTGTCTCTCACTGTTCATATAAACCTACGATTAAAATTATAGACTGATCATTTCTTTGTCAGTGGGCAAACGTACAAAATCAGCAGGGGATCAAATACTTTTTTCCCTCACTGTATCCCCCTGCTCATTCCGAGTCCTCACGTGCTTCTACTTAAGCTGCTGCCAGTTGTCCCATTAATCTTTTATCATCGCCCCCCATCTCCCGTCTCCTAGGCGCCAACCTCCGGTCACAGCGTAGCACCTGTTCGACCTCGAATGCACCCGCTTCTCCCCTTAAATACTGTCGGTTTGTCGGTGAAAACTTCTTGTTGCAACGCGCACACCTGTTTTCCCTATGTTGCAACCGCTTAACTGTGTGCACCACGTATTTCTCTCCTCTACAGTAGTAACTACTGACTCGGAAGTAGTATCTAAATGACTATAGTAGTACCTACTGAATCTATAGTAGTACCCATTGAGTCTATAGTAGTATCTACTGACTATAGTAGTAACTACTAACTCCATAGTAGTATCTGTTGAAGCTAGAGTAGTATCTGCAGACTCTATAACAGTATCTGCTAACTATAGTGGTATCTACTGACCACAGTATTATCTACAAGCTATAGTAGTATCTACTGACTCACTCGTAGTATCTGCTGACTCTATAGTAGTATCAACCAACTCTATAGTAGTAAATACTGACTCTACAGTAGTATCTATTGACCATAGTAGTATCTATTGAATATATAGTCATATCTATTGATTATATAGTAGTAACTACTAACTCTATAGTAGTATCTGCTGACTCTATAGTAGTATCTGCAGATTCTATAGCAGTATCTGACTCTATAGCAGTATCTACTGACTCTATAGTCATATCCACTTACTCTGCAGCAGTATATACTGACTATAGTGGTATCTACTGACTGTAGTATTATCTATTGACTCTACAGTAGTATCGACCGACTCTATAGTAGTAACTACTGACTCTATAGTAGTATTTACTGAATCTATAGTAGTATCTATTTACTCTATACTAGCATCTACTGACTATAGTAGTAACTACTAACTCTATAGTTTGAACCACCTCTACGGGGAGGGTTTGCCATGCTTGTTTGTTTCACACAACTTCTAATTTAGCAATCTTTGGAAGAACGTAATCAACCAGGCTATGCGTTAACTGTGTGCTAACCGACTCTCTGTTGCATTGTATTACACTTCCTAATTTAACTAAATTTGCTTTCTATCGTGCTTGTTTATAAGTCCATTCTCTCCTCCGGCCGCTATGGGCAGTAATTCCACACAACGCTCCGTGCTTGTTTGTTTAGCAGTCCAGTGCCCAGCTTGTCCGTCCCCCATGGGCAGATATTCCACACAACTCCCCCTCTGCCCCCCCCCCTCTCTCTATTTAAGGCCTCGACACAGAGACGTTGTCTTTCTGTGTGCCTATGTGTGTCTCTCTCTGTTTGTCTCTGTGTGAGTGTCTCTCTGCTTGTGTGTCCGTGTGTCTCCGTGTCTATGTTTTGTCTCTCTCTCAAATTTAGCCATCTTTGGAAGAACGTAATCAACCAGGTGGGGTGTTAACGTGTTGGCCGACTCTCTGTGTTTTATTGCATTATATTTCCAAGTTTACTATGTATGTTTTCTAATTCATTTGTACCTGATGATGGTTGCTTGTGTTGCAATCGAAACGTCGTATTCTATTTTTATTTTATTTATTTCTACGTGACTTTACCGAAACGAAAGAGTAATTCCTGCAGTCATGAAAGCTTTGAATCTAGTTTAGTATCTACTGACTCTATAGTAGTATCTACCAACTCGATAGTAGTATCTACTATCACTACAGTAGTATATACTGACTGTAGCAGTATCTACTATCACTACAGTAGAATATACTGACTGTAGTAGTATCTACTATCACTACAGTAGTATATACTGACTGTAGTGGTATCTACTATCGCTACAGTATATACTGACTGTAGCAGCAGCTGCTACCACTACAGTCAGCATATACTACTGTAGTAGTAGTAGCTACTATCACTGCAGTAGTATCTACCCACTCTATAGTCGTATATACCGACTCTATAATAGCATCTATCGATCTCGATTTGAAGTTTTCGTGACTGCAGGCATCCATACTCTTTGGTTTATTCAGTAAAGTCACGTAGGTCAAAAACATAAATAATAAATCACGTTTCAATCGCAACACAAGCAATCGTCATCGGGTAGAAAGATACAGCAGTAGAACTGCTGAACAAGGAAGGGCTGTTGCAACAAGGTTATTTCTAGGTTTGAGGTGGGTGGCACCCAAGGGTAAGTAGGCGGGGTCAGAGATGGAAAGGAGTCCCGTTGCCTTGTGCACGCACAACACTCGTTTGCATTAGCATGTCAATCCTTGGAGCATCTGTTGTACGTGCGCACGGCGACGGGACTCCTTTCCATCTATGACCCCGCCTACTTACCCTTGGGTGACACCCACCTCAAACCTCTATATAGCCTCTTGTTGCAACAGCCCTTTCTTGTTCAGCAGTTCTACTGCTGTATCTTTCTACCTGATGACAATTGCTTGTTGCGATCGAAACATCATGATTTATTATTTTTCTACCTACGTGACTTTACCGAAAGAACGAAATAGTATCTATCGACTATATAGCAGTAAACTACTAACTTAACAGAGTGCCGTGCAGAGCTCCCGGCCGAGGTGGCGCTTTGGCCGGCTGGGGCTGGGCCGCTACCCCCCCCCCCACCATCCCCTCGCCCGCACTACAGTAGTAGTATCTACGGACTATAGTAGTAGTATCTACCGACTCTATAGTCATAACTGCACACATTGGGGTGGCGGGGGGGAGAAGCGGACACCACATTTTGAAGAATTTACCTCAGCATTGTGTTTTTGGTTGCATTTTGAACGTGAATGAGAATTCCCCCCCCCCCCCACCGAGTCAGAGTTCTCGCGCATGCACGGATGCGTGCTCTGGCGCCGCCCTGTGCTTATAAAAGGAATTAATTGCTCATTTAACTACCTTAAACTGTGTACTTTTTTGATATGCAAACTCCAGTCTGTGTTAAAAACGTCACAAAGTACTCGCGCAGACAGGCAGGCACATAGACAGACAAAAAAAATGACCTATATAGGTAAGATAATACAAACACATGAATAATACACCTACACTCACACACACACATTGATAATACACATTATACACATACATTTTCACGTAACATTTTACACACATTTAATCACACATACGATTAATCACATTACACTTACACTCAATTAACATTGCACACACATTTTATTATTTTATGAATGTTAGCCTAATTTTCATAATTTCATATTTTTAAAAATAATGTCCACATTCTTTATTTATTTATGGCAACACAATCTATATACAACAGACCCCCGAGCCACCACCCAGTCACCCGGCTCGATGTCAATTTGTCAACACGGCGCCAAATTACAAACACGATTTTAAGGTACACATTCATCTATTTATGATTTCTTTCGCACCGTACATAGCCAACTGCGCTAATCGGAGGTGCGGGGGAAGGGCAAACTAAAGACAAAAGGCAGTTCTAAAGAAATTAGTTTTCAATCTACATTTAAAAGTGCAAAGCTCCAGTGGCTTTCTAATATCGGAAGGGAGAGTGTCCCAGACGGTGGCAGAAGTGCATCTGTAAGCGTGCGGATGCATCTTAAATTAATTACTACTGTAAACAGCAACCCACTTTGCACCCTTAGTATTCTAACCACCCACCCTCCTGCTCACCAATCCAGGGGTTGAAGGACTCCTCTTCCTCATCTTCCGTGCCGACAGCAGTTGTGGGTGCTCCTGCAGCCACAACGTACTGAGGCACACTGGCACAGACACACAGCTCCATCAAAACGCACAGCTCCTTCAACACGCACAGCTCCATCAACACACACAACTCCATCAATACACACAGCATCATCAACACACAAAGCATCATCAACACCACATATAGCATCATCAACATCACATTAGCACCACTACACAGCAGTTTAAACATCACAGCAGCTCAACTCCCATCGCTTGTGATCCATTACCCATTAAACACTGGAAGTGAGTGAAGTGAGAATGCTACCCTCTTCTATTGACAATTTATCAACTACAAGACTAAAGAGTAAAAACATAATGCCTGTTACCCGCAGATAACCCTGCGGGTAACTGGACAAATTTATGTGCAGCTCCTCTTATTCGTGAAAATATCACGAACATTTATTTTCTAGAGTGCTTCCGCCACAATCATATTTTTATCCAGTATCGTGCACGTGATGATAACATGTTGCCAGTAGTGGGCAGACCATGACTAGTGATGAAGAAGTGGCCAGCAGTTGAGAGACCATGGCTCATAATGATGATGACAGCGATGATGTGGCCTGGTCTGTAGCCCTGGCAAGGACCTCCAGAGTGCACAGCTCCTTCAGGAGCCAACAGAGTGAGCCAAGCTGCGCAGTCGACATTGTTGAAGTCGCCAACGATCAGTCGTGTGTTGTTAAGAGCCACATTAGGTGGACGGACAAACTAGAATGGTTTGCATGGTGGTCGATGGCTGCTGGATGCTGGGTGAAGGTCTCTTAGCTGTGGCTTCCACTCACCTGCCCGTTCCCCCCCGCCTGACATGGCTGCCGTGGTTTGCGTGGCATTAGCATGGAGTTGGCCTAGCCCTCAGGGTCATAGCTGATAGAGCTTACTCGGGTTGGTAAGGCATCAAGAATTTGCGTACGCCCGAGTTTCTATGATTCAATTTAACGATATCCATTTTGCCAAGATGACGGTGTTAGTCGTGTTTAAAGTCAGACAGGAACACTTAACGAGAAGGTCCCGATTATCTTGTGAAGCCATTTTGTCTTGGTGAGCAGACCTCAACATTGGCATTTTGCTCCTGAACCATACTGCTGCCATGGTAAGACAAGAGGAGAACAGTTTCCGTGAATCTGAGCATAAAAATGTTTTAAAGTGCAGGCGTGTTGTGTTCTGTCGTGAGTGGACATGAATTGTGATTAAATATTAAGAGTGTGGCTGTATTGGTAAAAAATAATGGCTAGATGTAAAATTGCATTGCGTTCACAGTAAACAAGTCTCGATATGAAATGGTGGCGTGTTCCATGTTAATCACACATTAGCGTGGTAAAACAAGCAGTTTAGTCTGAATTTGTGATGCAACTGTTGGGCTCCTGTCTGTGTAAAACGGTTCTGCTGGTGTGCATTCCATTGTTTGGTGACCATGAGAAATTAATGCTTGGGCGTCCTGTGTATGTCATGTCTATTTATATGTTAATTCTTCCCATTTGAAGGGACAGTACACACGTATGTTAATTATCCCATTCAAAGACATACCAATTCATATGGTAATCATGCCTCAGAAGTGAACGGATGTGCAGGGGAGATTTGTGAGATGCATGCCTTTGTGTGATCATCACAGTAAGCGGGGTGCCTGTTGTTTCGGGATTATCGGCAGAAAATTGCGTGAAATTATTTGCACATCAGATTTAAGTGGTGTTAGAGAGCCAAGCTACGATGCTCCGAAGCTCCTTTGGTCGCAATGGCTTCAAACTGCACAATGATGAACTCGGCACTGCTGGTGGTGGTGCACGCGGGATTCACGTAGGAGGCGGGGCAAAGCTCCTCTGCCCATCGTGCGTTTCACGCATAATTAGGCCGGATTAGGATGCTGGCTCCGCCATCTGAGTTAAGGGCCGCATATCTTCATGAAAGCATAAGCTCAGGCTCGGAGTAACGATTCCATCATTGCAAAGGCTCAATCTTCCACGACGGCGACAAGAGCGCAGTTGCAGCACACGTTTTGTGGCGTGGGCAATGCGCGACGCGGTGGGTGCGGGCGTGCAGTGAGGAGGGGCGGTGTGCGCAATGTGGTGCGGAATTTTGGGTTAGATCGCGTAAATATAAATGTCGTTAACCCACCACCACCTGACACAGCCAATTGTTAAGGTTTGTCATGTAAACAAAACATCCCAGTGGGTTGCTACTTCAGCACAGCGGTGTGTTCGAGAGTAAACCAACATATACAATTTGAGTACGACGTTTCCCTGGTAATTACAGCTTTATAAGGCGATTTGCCAGATTTGTGAAGACATCCTCCTGTTTCAGTCTAAAGAACATACATTTCTTGTGGAAAAGCTGTAAAAGACGACTTCGCCACTAGGGGCGCTCTCGTCAACAATTTTCCACAACCACGTAACTTATCACAACACCACAGGTGCAGTCTTTGGCTCCGCAAGTCTTTCTGTTTCGGTCTTAAATAGAGTAAAGGTGAAGTCATCACTTTGATCCTATCACGTGCGAAAACCACTGGCGGGTTAATGTAGGCACATACATGAAAATGGATTATGTTAATATGATAAAATGCATAATCGACTTTGTTTATTCACTGTGACTAACTGCACCTGAGAGGTTCACAATGATGACATCAACTTTACTCTATTTAAGACCGAAACGGGAGGACCTCTTCACTATTCTGGCTGCTGAAGCTGGTTGTAATCACCGGCAAACATTGTACTCAAATTATAAATGTTGTGGATTTACTCCTGAACAGACCGGTGTCCTGAAATCATAACCTATTGGTTTACGTGGCTGTGTCGGGTGGTGGTAGGTTAAAGACACATTTATATTTATGCGATCTAACCCATAAAACCTTTATTATTAACAATATTGCTCATGTAAAACTGGTTGAGAGTTACTCTTTGGTCAATTTTAAATACATAGGATACTATTCTTTTATTTAATTAATTTTCTTTATACGCGACTTTACCGAAAGCTTCAAATCAAGTTTGGGTGAGAGTTGCTTGTTATCCCCCTAACCAAGTCGGCCCTTCTGGTTTTCCCCACCTAATAAAGCCCACGACCTTGCCCATACAGTAGTCCCTCGGTTAACAGTGACATCGGTTGACGTTCTTTTGGTTCGCGTAAAAATGTTTATTAACGGTACATTTACGTGATGCATTTGGGTGCCAATTTCGGCCAATCTGAGCGCTCGCAAGTGGGCTGAGCAATGCCCTCAGACAATCAGTGACGTCCATTTATGAACATTTAGACCTCGACTGGCTTTGTTTACATTGTTTTCTGTTTTGGCAGTGGAAACAGCTTTCTTGCAGACTCAGTGATTTGTACTTATTTTTCAAAGTAAGTAAATTAAATTAACAGTTATTTCGGTTAACAGTAGTCTTAGTGGAACGGATTAAAAACGTTAACCGAGGAACTACTGTACTGTAAAGCGATGCGTGCGCTCCGAGCGAGCGCCGTCGACCTACGCGAGGAAGGACGCGGGGCTAAGCTGCTAGTCACCCAATGGGGTCGTGGCGTGTCCGGATCATGCCACGTCCAGCCGCGTTCCGTACATTGCAGCGGAGACACGAACGAGGAGCCTGCACCTGTCCCTACTCGCCCCGGTTCAAGGCCCCTTTCCCAAGCACACGTTAAAACTCAAGTTGCGTTACATTTTGTATAAGATAGCAGCTTCGCTAAGCATGATGGGTAAAATCACAGATAATCACGGATAATAAGAAAAAATAGGGCCGCAGATGATATGAATTTTCATGAACCCAGCAGCTGCTATTGATAAAAAAGAGCACAGGTAATGTACGTATGTTGAACCTCTTTCACACCGTACGTAGCCAACCGTGCTAATTGAATATGCAGGGGAAGGACAACAAACTAAATACAAAAGGCAGTTCTAAAGAAATGAGTATTCATCTTCTTTGGTTCTTTCGGTAAAGTCACGTAGAATGAGAATAAAATAATTGATCAAATAAAAATAACACAATAATTATGCTCACGACGTTTCGGCCACAACACAAGCGGCCTTCATCAGGTGAAGGGTCCTCCAGACAGTCTCGTCCCCTTCACCTGATGAAGGCCGCTTGTGTTGTGGCCGAAACGTCGTGAGAATATTATTGTGCTATTTTTATTTTATCAATTTATTATTTTATTCTCATTCTACGTGACTTTACCGAAAGAACCAAAGAAGATGAATCCTTGCAGTCACGAAAGCTTTAAATTGAAATGAGTATTCAATCGAGATAGGGCTACGAAAAAGAGTTTTCCTGCAAAAGGATGACAGTAGTTCTACTGCATCAGCTGTTTGTGTTGGCATCACAATAACTGGCAGTGGCCAGCACTGGGTGGCCCACCAGCCACGAACCGGAGCGCCCCGAGTCGGGACGAGCAGTGTGCCCCAGTGAGCGTTGTGGCCTTGAGCCGCACACCTGGTGGTACTGAGCATGTGGCCTCCGATCTTGATCTTCAGCTTCAGCTGGGGCTTCCCAGTGGTGGAGTCTGACTCAAGCGTCTCCGAGGAGAAGCTCACCTCCCCTTCGGCGCCGACCCCGTCTCGCCGGCGCTTGTGCTTCTTGTGTTTCTTGTGTTTTTTCTTGTGTAACAAATGAATGCTGCCGCCTGCCTGCCCTGCACACGTGCAGACCGCACATGCACCGTACAAATCAGAAGCACGTAAAACAAGTTCTCAACAACAACAGCCGCGATTCGCCACTAAGTGGTGGTGATGTCACCACAGCGCTTGTGCCAGGCCAGGTGCACTTTGAGGCCATGTGAAGTGTTGAAGACTCGCTGACAGGAGGTCACGAGACAGACCCAGGTGCCATGAGTTGACTGAGATGACTGGCAGTTGCACCACCTCTGCTATCCACTGTGTCCCCTACTGTGCACTTTAGCCACCCGGTGCTACACTCGTTATGAGCATTTCTCCTCTGCCATCCATTGTTGTTCGAGGGCAACTGCTTCCAACTGCCCACTAGCGTCCTTCACGAGCCTCCTCCATAGAGGCCGATCTTAACACTGCTGGTACCAGTCTTCGGCAAGTCCATTCAGCATCACTTCCTCCTGAATCGCCTCATTCCATCTCTATTCCAGCATGTGTCAGCCCGTTTAGCCCCCTCTATCCGGCCAAACAGAAGCTGTTTGGGCACGCTGTGGCTGGGCATGTAGGCTACATGACCTAGGCATTGTAGCCTTGTCCGTCGGAGGAGCTCACTGATGGGAATGCATCCAGATCTTACAAGGATTTGTGAGCTCTTCACAGAATACAGCCTGTTTAAACCAGGATGGATCATAGGCAGGCAGCATGAATGTTTCTAACCAACAAAGATGTTCCATCAGAGAGGTCCACATTTCGCAAGCACAGAGAATTGACGGCACGACTGTGGCTGAGTAGACCCAAAGCTTCGTGAAATTCCGATATAAACAGCATATAAAAACATACAATTCAGTCTCGCAGAGGCAGACTCTGGGGAGAGCCCTCGTAAGTTGGCTCGGAGTTTGAGCTTTGCAGAGGGAAAGGGTCCGAGAAGTAAAGAGTTTTGAACTTTTCAGAGCTAAGGCTCAGAGTAGTTAAGAGTTGGAGTTCTTGCTAAGGCAGACTCCAAGTACCCCTGAAAGTAGCCAAGTTTTATTTTATATCTTTCTTCACATTTTGAGTCTCGAGGAGAGTCGTGGCTTTGAAAAGTTGTTGTGATATGCTAAGAGGTGTGACAATTGTTGTTGAGCCCCTAGTGGCAAGGTAGCTTTATTCAGAATTGTTGTTGAGCCCCTAGTGGCAAGGTGGCTTTATTCAGCTCTCCCTCATGCTAATGTCGTAGAAAGGAATTTCTACTTAACACTGTACGAAGCTAAGAGGTGTAAGGGAATTGTTAGCAAAACGTCAATTGTGGAATAAAGCTACTTCCCTAAGTGGAGATTTGTGTTAGACACCAATAGAGTATGCACGGAAATATTGTCGAAGCCATAGGCTGGAAGAGTTCTGTTATTGTCAAGTCAAATTGACTTGACATTGCATGTAGTGAAGAAGCTCAGTGTCAGCATTGTTACGTGCAGGCTCCTGCACAGCACGAGACCTCCGAGAGTGAGCAACAATGGGTGCTCACAAACCAAGCCACTCCTAAAGCTGCTGACAAGCAACGAGCACTGGGCCAGCGTGGCCGCATCGTGCTCAAGCTGCACATCGAGCCTGGCGTGCAGGCAACCTGCGAATGTGTGGCAGAGGAGCCGACGACTAACTGGTAGCGTGCTGGTTCGAGGGCCAGAACGCACTCTAGCTGTGGATCGAGTATGATGCACAGACAAAGCTGTGAACGAGCAGCGAGCAGCCTGGCCACAACGCACTCTAGCTGTGGATCGAGTATGATGCACAGACAAAGCTGTGAATGAGCAGCGAGCAGTCTGGCCACAACGCACTCTAGCTGTGGATCGAGTATGATGCACAGACAAAGCTGTGAATGAGCAGCGAGCAGTCTGACCGCGAGCACGTTCCAGCAGTGGACCAAGCCTATTATTCAACACATCCTTGTGGGACTGTATTTTTCGGATAAGAAAGAAGACAGAAAATGGGACATTAACTTTACACTCATCATTTAACTGTACCTTGTACTGAATGTGGGCTAAGAAGAAACCCGGGTGCCTTTGCCTCCACAGTGGTGATGTTTACACATGGCACCAGGTACTCATGTGAGGCTGAGTCGACCTAGGGGTGACGATTATCAGGACCGATTCAGATAATTGTCACTGGTTTTGGGTGTGAGCTGGAATCGAACTCGGTTCGCCAGGTTCGTCGTGCAGCGCGCTAAACGTTGCACTACTGCTCCCCACTCGCGGACAAATACACACATACCTGTGTTGGTTCATGATCATTGGTAAGTACAGTATTTATTCAGTATTTCTACTACTATTTATTGTCTTGGAATGTTTATTGTATAGAGTTTGTATATTTTATTTGTTTATTTGGCATACAGTACTTATTTCAATTGTGATGTGTCTATGTAGGTTGCTGTGTACCCCACCCCATTATTTTAGGTAAGGCTTAAGTATTAAATATCGCGGTTTTGGCTTTTACGACACTCCAAGAAAGTAACTTCCGTGATATTCAAGGGCCTCCTGTATTTGGAAGTTTGTGTGTTTCTCTCCCTGTGGTTGCATGGATTTTTCTCCTGGTCCTCCGATTTTTCCCTCCACATTTAGAAACATGCATTTTTTTATATTTTGGCTGCTATACATTTCCACACAAGGCACTTCATTGAGATATCATTTGTGGCCAGATCGCTTCTGAAAAAGAGCTATATAGCTCTGTGGGACCTTACCTGGTAAAATCAAAAGTTTAGTTTTGTTTAAACCCGACAGACTGCAATACAGACGAAGAATGCACGCATGCCAAACGCACGTCGCACACTGAAGTAGGGGTGCTTATATTAGAATGCCCCTCTCAAAGTCAGACTCAAGGAAGCTGGAATTTGGGATAAACAAAATAAACCCCAAAAAATGGATTCGCCAGAGTTAGTAGTGTGCTGGGGTAAAGTGGTGGTTACTCCTGCCTCTTTCAAGATGTCTCGACCAGCATGGAAGAGTAGAGTGGCTCTTAAGAGCTCCCTCTGTGGAGGCCTCTTCCACCAGCAGTGGTGCAAGAAAACACATTTAGGGCTGAGCATTTACCTTTCGCCATAACGGAAAGGCTCTCCCTCCAAGTACATCAGCTTTGAGAGGTAATGTGTAATTTAAAGAGTGCTTATTAAGTGGTTTTGTATGTAGATGTTAAGATTCATGTAGAGAGGCTACAATAGAATGCTAGACGGTTTTGAAACACATGGCTGTTGTGGGGAGGCATTGACACCCGTGCAAGGCCCTGGACAAAGCAGATAAGTGGCGATTTATTTTCCACATGTTAACATGCCAACATGACCCTCCTCCAGGATACTTGTCCCAGCTTCCCTCTCAGTGCATGGTTCTAATTGGAATCCTACCGAAATGAGAATTGAGCACACAAAGTGCATGATGTAAAAATCAGGAAATGTTTAAAATTTAATTTATATTCTACCCGATGGTATATAAAGTGCTGTCTAAAGCTCGTATCCACTCTACCTCTCCGGCCTCTCTATATGCTGTGAAGGACCATTGCCCAAAACGTTGCCTGCTAAATACTTTTTTCTTTTTAAGGATGGCCTTCTTGACGAATGTGCACATTTTTTTCTCCCAGGGACGCTTATGCTTCAACACATTGTTACCATTAACGTACTAGCTGTTCTCTTTTAAAATAAGGGAAAATTAGATCTTTCGTTAGTTTCAAGGTGCAACAATAAATATCAGACTGGTGTCAGAGAAAGGCTAATATTAAAAATCCTGAACCACCTCTAACTCTTAAGTGTTGGACGATGCAGTTATTGTTCATCACATTCCCATTCAATGACTATGCAGATACGGTTTTTCGAACCCTATGTGGGATGGAATTACTGCAAGCCAAGAGTGTGGACGTTATGTGGAATACTTATATATCAGGCAGTTTAAAAGAGTTCACCCAAATAAAAACATTATAACAGGGGAAAGGTGTGTGTGTAGGGAAGTGTCGGGTGAAACAAAACTGCCATGGAACAAGTAGATTTACTGTTATTGGCTTCTAAGGATGTAGCTGCCACATGACAACCAGACAACGCCATATACAGTATATCACAGAAGGGGAGTCTGTCAACTCCGTTGGTTCTATAAACCTGTTGTATATGTGCCTTTTTCCAATTTTTATTAAGAATGATTCTGCTTATTTTTTTTATAAGTTTGATCTGGATGTAGAGCTGGGGCACGAAAGGGCGAGTCACCCCTCACACCCCGCTGCCTCTTGCTTCGCCACACAAAAGGCAGCTGGAGGAAGTAGTCATAAAATGTTATTATAAAAAAACTCCGGTGCAGGAGGGGGGGTGTTGTACATGGCCCCCTTTTTCAATCTTTAATATTAACAAGAAATTTGCCGATACATATATATTTTTAGAGAAATAAATAAAGAAAACACGCAAAGTCAGCACCAGCAAAACACCAGGTGTTGATAAGTAATGAGAACTGAAGGAGGGCCAGGATGGCGGAATTATCGCAACCTTGCTCAAGGGAGAGATAAGGCCTAATGAATGACGCACACGTCACCCGTGCAGGCAGAGACTGAGAGAGACAGCGAGAGTTCGCGTTAGCCACAGACATAGTTAAGTAAAAAAGCTCAACCATTTATCCTGCATTGCTTTTAAAGTAACGTTAAAGTTCGAAATTCAACAACAGGAGTAGGCTAAAATTATCGATCCTCGCGCTCGCTCCAATTAGAGACCAGGCTGCGAGCTACATCAATGAACCATTGCCCATTTATGAATTCAATACTGAATGTTTAGTAGATTTTAGTAGTTTCTGCACAACCTGACCGAAGCGTATGGCAATCAGAATTTTTCCTAAGTCAAAACGAATTCTCTAACCTCAGGACATAGGCGAATAATAGGGCAGTGTTGACTCAAGGGCAATGGAAGAGAAGCAGAGGCACATTTGTCTAAATTGTAGCGTGAGAGAGAGGATAGACGCCAAGCAATTATTTCAGCACCTGCATTCACAAGGCTGGGAAAACGTAGATAACGCTCCCCCAGCGCAGCTAGGAT